GGGAACCTCATTTGCACGGAAGCTGGCACAGAGATTTGAGACGGTAAACTTTTACCAAACCTTCTACGCTACAATCCTGGACTTCTACTGCGTGGACCTCCTTTCGTCTCGGCGCCACTGGCCTTTTGTCCAGGAGATCATCGGCTTCTGCGCAGTGAGTCCCAGATTGTTCCGTCTATGAGTGAACCCAGGTCCAGAAATTAACAGGTAAGATTGATACCGTTAGAGCGGTAGACCCACAAGGGGTTTTATATTTGGAACCGGTTATTGGAATCTGCCCTGTCCTGATGGATGGAAGAAGTGAAAAGCGCAACACTTATCTGGAAATTAGACGCTCTGTAGTCAGCCCGTCTAATATAGGTGGTTTGGGTCAGACTGAGTTCTGGTGTAAATAGCTCATGTCGGACACCGGTGTCCTGTCTTGACTAGCGTATCTAGGGTGTAAATTTTGTTCGCTAGGTCGGGGGGACCGGGAGACTAGCATACTCTGTTGTATATTATAGTTTGCTAGATTTCACCCTATCTTAACTAAGTGTGCTCTGTTGTAAATCCAGCCACTAGCTTATTGATAGTTTAATAGACTAGCTGGGTACTGTGTAAATTCTGCCCTCTAGTTCGCTATACGTGGTGTCTGGGCAGCGAAGAACTTATCGAATCTCTGGTGTATAAATAGATCGAAAGCTCTCGAGGTGCTGGCCAGTTAGAATAGTTGGGATTATTGTAAATGTTGTTAAATATATTGTAGTTGGTGAATTGGTTAACTTGTATGTCCTACTAGAAAGTTAGAGCTCTGCTGTCTAGTGGGAGTGTAAATTGTGTGTATAACTGTAAAATAGCGCACGGTACCATAACTACTGACATGTACCATAACCACTGACATTGTGTAAAAATTACTAACAATTGCTGTTTTATGTTATATGTATAATACCATAACTGTTACTAACTGATCTGTGACTTTAAAACTGTATTATAACCACTTACTAACTGTACCATAACCACTGACTGTAAAGATGAGGTTACTAGAATGTGATATAGTTGGTTAGTCAAAAGTTGATTTATAGTACGGATAATTGTAGAGATGAATTTGTTGAAATGTTATGTGATCGGTTAGTTTATATGGATTAATAGCGTGGATAGTTGTATGGTTTGAATAATAGTTACATTGATAAGTGTATAGTCTTTGGTGGGTTTTTTTTTAATTTAATTTCGTGTGTGCGACGTCGTGATATTGTTGAGCATGTGAGGATCCTGTGTGTGTGTTTGGGCCTAGTGACTGTGCAATGTGGTGCTGGTGATAAGGAGATTGGTGTGACTGTTGAAACTGTGTGTATATTTGTACAGCTTTTTGAATCAGATGTTCTGTTGAAATAATCTGATTCACTAGGCTGTTAGTCTTTTGTCTTGTATGTTTAAAAAAAAAAAAAAGTAGGGAGTAGCCTGTCCTGGTGGCCGCATGGCCTCCATGTAGCAGTCTTCACTTAAATTTAGTGCAGGGTGTACATGTGGCTGTAACTAGTAGGCTGGAATTCTATGATCAGTTTCTATATATTGACTGTTGGAAACTGATTGTTGAAAAACTGCCTTGGTGAATTAAACTGTGTCATATGGGAAACAATGTAGCCATATGGTGGTCAGAACTAAGGACTTAATTACAACTGCTTTGGACATCCCCTCCCCCCCTGGCATCTGATTACCAACCCCCCAAACATCCTCCAGAGCCAGATTAGCCACGCCCCTATTCTTCTTCCCAAGCTAAGAACTGGTATATAGTCAGTATTTGCACTCCCCCTGCTCTACTGTCCCCGCCTACCCACATACCTATCTGTTCCTGTGTTTCAAACTCTTGTATTTCTGTACTACCCCTCCCCCTAATCAATGATCAATGGTATCAGATGGTATATTGGTTTTTTTTAGTTACTGGATGGGCCCCTCCCAGCTTTGTCCAAAATGTCCCCTTTTACTAAACTACAAACTGAAATGTTTAATTTACCTTAGAACTAAAGATTTCATCAAGCCTGGCTATCAGGGTGGACATTGATTAAAATAAGTAATAATAAAATAGGACATAATTAATTAAAGTCTATTTGTTTCATTTGACTTTAGGGAGGCACTCTAAGCCACCTACTGGCCATCTTTGGGAGTTACATTGATAATACATTGTTTATAACAGATAGAAGTAGGATTGCTTACCCTATTTTAATATATTTATTGCTATAAGGTTTTATTTTATGTATAAATATATTAAAAGTTGAGTTTTCTTATTAGACCCATAAAGATTATTTTGATACAATTACCCTCTGGTGACACCTACTGGTAGGTTTTTGGTTTAACACTTTAAACAAAAATGTTTTTTCATCCACCAAATGCTGACTAATAAAATTAGCTCACCCCCTTACACCTATCTTACTACTCCTAGACTGGAACCTATTATTGAGCAGCCTTGCCGAAGTCCCATATTAGATACTGTTTGAGTCAGATAGATTGTACACTCTTTTCAATCCTGAAGCCCCTGAAAACTTCCGAATGATAGACTCAGCATTTGTCAGCCAGGCCCAAGGTGATATTAAAAGGAAATTACAGAAATTAGAGGGATTTGTAGGGATGTCCATAATACAGCTAATGGAGATTGCAAATATAGTATATATGAATAGGGAGATGGAGGAAGAACGTAAAATGAGGAAAAAGGCAGATATGCTAGCGGTAGCTATCTTAAGTGTAGAAAGACAGGGAAGTGAATAGAGGAGACGAGAATAGGCTGAGCAAGGGACTTTAAGTAGGAATTAATGTGCGTATTGTAGAAAGGAGGGACATTGGAAGAGTGAGTGTCCACAGAGAGAGCAGTATGAAGGTGATAGACAAGGAGAGAGAAGGGTACGAGGAGGTTATAGTGGTAGTTATAGAGGAAGAGGACGTTTTAGAGGGAATGATGGGAATAGTAGAGGAAGTGTTCAAGGAGACAGATACTATCCACCCACGCAGAGACCTAGAGAAAGAGAGGATAGAGATTTTGTGGGTCTGGCTGACACTATCATGGAAGACTATTGATACCGACCGGGCTCCATCCCACTTGGTCAAGCGGAGCCTATGGTCGATGTAGCAATAGGGGGAAAGAGAAGTTCTTTCATGATCGACACAGGTGCTGAACATTCTGTGGTGACTAAGATGGTGGCTCCGCCTTCGGGGAAGACTATAACTGTGATAGGAGCTACTGGGAGAAGTGCAGCTAGACCGGTTCTTAAGAGTCGCACTTGTATTCTGGGAGGCCATGTGGTGAAGCATTAGTTCCTATATATGCCAGAGTGTCCGATTCAACTTTTAGGACGAGATCTATTATCGAAGCTTTAAGCTCAGATAACCTTTTACCTAATGGATTAACATCTCTGAAGTTTAAGGGATTACCAGGCATAATGGTGATATCGGTGCCAAGGGAAGAAGAATGACGCTTCTATTCCATAGTAACAAGTGTTAACCCTAAGAGTGATGAATCCTTACTTGACATTCCAGGAGTATGGGAAGAAAATAATCCTCCAGGACTTGCTCGTAATATCCCACCAATACATATTGAGTTAAAGCTCGGGGTGTATTCTGTTAGCCTTTGTATGTTGTTCTTTTATCTACCCCAATAGCTGTAAAGGTGGTGGAAGTGACTCCTTGGATTCATCATTTTAAGGTTAAACCAGCGGCAGACTCTTGGCAAGCTACTCCAGATCCTGAGAATCCTTGCAGGACCCGGTTGAAGCGTGCAACTCAGTCGGAGTGACGAGGGGATATCGAGACATTCTAGTTAAAAGTCTACAAAGATCATCAAGTAGGTGTTTTGACGGCCATAATAAAGCCTGACCACCTGCCTACGTGTCATAGCCAGAGTATCTTGAAGGGATCTCTGTGAAGGAAAGTGAGGATCAGAAGAACAACATCCTTGCAGCCCTCACAATCGGGAAGCTGAGAGGCCATCGCACGGTCGAAGAAAAATGAGGATTTCAGGAATAATGTGTTTTATTGTGTCTTAGTATTTTTATGATTTTTCAGGAAGGTAGGAGTACAGACATACCGAATTGCGATAGTTGCATTAAGACTACTCAAACAGGTAACCAAATATCCCAAACTCTCATCTGGCACTCACAGTATGAATGTAAGGGATCTGTATCTAAATGTAGATATTTGGATATTGATTATAGTGTGTGCAAGCCAATATCAGGAGAGTCTAAATGTTTTGATCCCCATTTCCAACCCCGTACAATTTGGTTGGTAATTCGGAATAGTAACTCCCAGGGGACATTAATAAATAGGACTGTGATAAGCACCATACATTCCACGGGTATTCTACTATTTGATGCATGTAAGGCGATTTCGGGTAGTGGAAGACTTTGGAATGTATGTGGTAATCTTAAATGGGAACGAACTTATGGGTTTAATGATAAATACTTATGTCCCAGTAAAAGATCTACTGATCCTGATTGCCCAAATAGAGACTAACTTCTGCCCCTATTTGTCATGTGTAGGTTGGGCAACCTGGGAAAAACAGTGGATCAAGATATGATTATCCAAAGGTTGCCTACCACACCATACTGTAAAACTATGTGTGTAACCCCGTTCACATGACCATTTCCAATCTGCAGTACTTTATTGACAGGTTTGGAGGTCTGTTTGGGTTCAAATATATGGCACAGGAGTAGATCCAGGAACAATAATATATGTAGGTCTTGAAACTGAGACAGTGGCAACTCAAACTCATCAGGTTTCTCATTCCTTCTATGAGGAGATGAGTATTGAGGATAAAATTCCCCATAATGTTAACAACCTATTTATTGATTTGGCTGAGGGTATTGCAGGTAGTCTTAATGTAACTAATTGCTATGTGTGTGGAGGTACTAATATGGGAGACCAGTGGCCATGGGAGGCAAAGGAAATATGGTACCCTGGCTCTGAGACATATGAACAACAGATACCTTTCCAGTCTGATCATCAAGTAAGTACTAGAAGTAAATTGGAATGGTGGTTAAAAACCTCCATTATAGGTCATGTTTGTATAGCCAGGAAAGGGACAATGTATAACACGTCTGTAGGTGAGCTAACTTGCTTGGGACAAAAAGCATATAATGTTAATACTAAAAATACTACTTGGTGGTCAGCTTCAAATGTCTCGGAGCCTACTAATCTGTTTGCCAATTACACTCATTTAAGGGAGGTATGGTTTGACTTATCGGCTACATCTAGATGGAAAGCCCCAGCAAATTTATACTGGATCTGTGGTAAGAAAACTTATTCGGAGTTACCACAAGATTGGGAAGGGGCATGTGTATTAGGTATGCCAAAGCCATCCTTCTTCTTGTTGCCAATCGAAACAGGAGAGACCTTGGGAGTTAAGGTTTACGATGTAAATCATAAAAGGGAGAGAGCATCCTTGAATATAGGTAGCTGGGAAGATAATGAGTGGCCCCCTCAACGTATTATTAATTATTATGGACCTGCTACTTGGGCAGAAGATGGCACTTATGGATATAGAACTCCGATTATATATGCTCAACCGCATTATTAGACTACAGGCGGTAGTTGAGATTATTACTAATGAGACAGCTCAAGTGCTTAATCTTCTAGCTAAGCAAAATACCAAGATGTGATCAGCCATATACCAGAATAGGCTAGCCCTTGATTACTTACTAGCAGTAGAAGGAGGTGTATGCGGAAAGTTTAATCTAAGTAACTGTTGTCTGCACATAGATGATGAAGGGCAGGCAGTGGCTGAACTTACAAGCCACATGGTTAAATTTGAGCATGTACCTACTCAGGTCTGGAATGGGTATAACCTAAGTAGTTGGTTTGGAAGTTGGTATGAGCAGCTTGGAGGAATTAAGACATTAGTAGGAGGAGTAGAATTTATTATATTTTTTGTGCCTCCTCCTGCCCTGTCTAATTCCACTAGTGGTAAGGTCCCTACGTAGTATTATAGAGAGTACTATAGAGAGAAAGACAGCGGCTCATGTAATGGCTGTCTGGAAGATATGATCCCCTAGCCCGAAGAGAATATATTCAGGATGAAGAATGTTGAAGGAGTTTTTAAGATGCTTACAAGGTCTACTCTGGTTCAATGGCTACTTGAGAGATGTAGGTAAAACTGTGATTGGTGATGCATCTGGAATAATGTTATATCAGAGGCATCAAAGGGGGGAATGTGATGGGATTCCAGCATGGTCAAAATTTAGTAGGCCAAAATCTCCATGTGGCATATGTGTATGTTGTGTCAGTTGGTTAGCTACATGTAGCTAGGATACTGTCATCAGTGTACTGAGCATGTGCAGGAATGCAGGAACTGAAATTGCACTTATTTCCTTTGTCTTGGATGAGCCATGTGGTTTGACTAGATGTACAAGTCTATAGTCTGCTCATTGATTGGTTAAAGGTATATGTGGGTGTAGCTATTAATGGGAGGAGTTATAGTGTTATATAAGGAATGTACACTATGTGTTGGTCTCTCAGATCTTTTGGAACAGGAGTTCATCTGAGACCCGATCGGTAATGTGAATAAAGGCCTGTTACTTCCTGAAGACCTGTGTCCAATATTTCTGTGTTTGGCTTCTGCATGCTTACACTGCAACAGAATGATATGGATTTCTGCACAAATTGGTCATAAAATGTGATCTGATCATCATCTAAGTCACAACAATAGACAATCAGTCTGCTTAAACTAATAACACACAAAGAATGAAATGTTGCCATGTTTTTATTGAACACACCATGTAAACATTCACAGTGCAGGTGGAAAAGTATGTGAACCCTTGGATTTAATAACTGGTTGAACCTCCTTTGACAGCAATAACTTCAACCAAACGTTTCCTGTAGTTGCAGATCAGACGTGCACAACGGTCAAGAGTAATTCTTGACCATTCCTCTTTACAGAACTGTTTCAGTTCAGCAATATTCTTGGGATGTCTGGTGTGAATCGCTTTCTTGAGGTCATGCCACAGCATCTCAATCGGCTTGAGGTCAGGACTCTGACTGGGCCACTTCAGAAGGCGTATTTTCTTCTGTTTAAGCCATTCTGTTGTTGATTTACTTCTATGCTTTGGGTCATTGTCCTGTTGCAACACCCATCTTCTGTTGAGCTTCAGCTGGTAGA